TTTTTTTTTTTTTTTTTTTTTTTTTTTTTTTTTTTTTTTTACTTTTTTGGAATTCATGTTCAATGGTATTAGCTTCTGTTGTTATGAGTATGGTGTTTTTTTTTTGCTTTAGATTAAACATCCCCACTAATTTTGCTGAACGGAACAAAAGTTTTTACTTGAATGTGGTGTTGCCTCATTAAGTCATTTTTCTCAGGCTTACTTGTTCGGTGTTAAAACTTGCTGCACTTTTTTATTGTACTGTGTCTTAGACTTTGATATTGTCTTTTCAAGGTAACTCCTGCAAATATGTATTTGTCTTATGTTCAGGGTTTTATATAATATACTGATAAAAAACGAGTAAACATTTGTAATTATTTCTGTGGTTAAAATATGTTAATTTTGTATTCCAGTAAAAATGGTTATTCCTTACAGACTTTGTCCTGTTGGTTATTTGTACCCCAATTCTGCTTCTGCCTGTTATTGGTTTCCATTTAGCTCTAATATAAAATGTGCATATAATGTATTAGAAAAGTCGGCACAGTTCAGTAAGAATAAAGACGGAACCAATAAACACCTTATTTAGGAAAAGAGTCTAAAATATAAAACGGATGTCAACCAGGCTTCTGAAATTCCTTTTATCCTTATGTGATGCTGAACCTGGTGGTGCAAGAGTTTGCTTCTTTCTTTCCAGGGTGAACGATATGAGGACTTCTAGTTTCATCCAGGTAATCAGGTAAGGTAAAAGGTGCTTACAAGGCAATATTAAATGTAATGCCAAGGTTACAGGTTAAATCTGCTTGGTTTACACATAGGAAATGGAGGTAAGATAGAATAAAATGAGGGGATGAATCTGTGAAGACCTTAATCCCCCAGAGCCAAGTGCTCATGCGTTAAGAACAGTGATTCCCAACCTAGTGGTCCACGAGGGTATTGCAAGGGGTACATAAACATATTTTTCTTAGGTAGTAAAATAAAATAGGGCTGGAATTTGTTCTGCTTTGTTAGGACCCAATAAAAAAAATCAAGCTTTTATTAACCAAAAAGTATGTTTTTTGGGTTTTTTTTTTTTTTTGCTAGTTCACCTTCAGCTGGGACGCACATCAAAACCAGGCAGATGAACAGACTGGATGTAGAGAACAGCCTGTGGATCACAGCTATAGGAGCTCATCAAAGCAGCTCAGGTGTCTTGATGAAAACAATGTAAAACTAATTAAGTCAGTCTGACAAATTTTTTTTTCTGTATATGTTAAATGTATTTATAAGAGAGTTAGTCAGAGGAGCTCCAGTTTTCTAAATACAGGTTTATTTTGATTCCTTACTAATTTCCAGGCAATACTAATACTAATTCTTTTATTTGAGATGTAAAGAATACAATGGTAAAAATGAAATGCTCAATTTAATAGATTTAGGAAAATAGTCTTTATTTTATAATTATTTATTGTTTATTAATACTTTTGACTGAGAGGGGAACTCATGGTACAAAAAATTGCCCAAGGGGTACACATGTCAAAAAAGGTTGTGAAACGCTGGTTTAGAGCAGGAGGAGACTGAGCTCATTAAATAATGTGATTATAAGACTCTTACAGGACTTGAACTGGTCCTACTGTTCAGGTGTAACGCTAAAATAACCCGTCATATTGCAGAGTGGAAAAATACCAGACAACATGAGATGGTTCTGCATTAGATAGACTGACCAGAGATATGGATGTTACAAGAGCACTGAAAACGACAACAGACTTGAAAGAAGGAATTTCAACTCATCATTGCTCTTCAAGAGCCAAATCAGGCTCTATGCTTATGAAGGCATGAAGTCAGTCAAAGCTTCAGTGATTGGTTATTAGGTTTTTCTTTCCAAAGACCGATCATCACTGTCCTACTGCATGGCAAGGAAAAATACTCACTGGTATTTAGGTCACATGCTTGAAAATGCTTAATATGGCCAGTACATTTCTGCAGTGTAAGTCCAATAATCCAAGTCAACTACTGTGTAGTCTTTCCTTATGCAGATATGTTTATATCTAAAGGAAACATATTCTGGGACGTTACAATTTTTCTCATGCTCTTTTGTTCTATGTACACTCTTTTTGTATTGTCTGCCTCCTCCCTTGGTGGGGGGTAGGATTTCCTGTGTCATCGGCTCTTCACAACCACTATTTAGCATTTTTCCTTTGGATGAACTTAACATGCAAAAGTGCACTCTCACAAATAACTACAGGTGCTTGGTTCCAGGTACTTAGAGATTCACTTCCATACAAAAAGCCCATATTCTTATCTTCAGCTACTTCAATATACATGTCAGATTAAATGATACTACTTTTACTTCAGCGATAGTATCAAGGTGTTACTTTATTGTATCTCTTATACTATATCCGTTGGTTGTGCTGTTCTTTTTACATCTCTTTGCAGGTGATGAAGCAGACTGAAGATGTTTTATCGTTATCTCCCTTTTGTCTCTAATCTTTTTTCTTTTTTTTCAGTTTTTCCTTTCCTGCTCTACTTGCATTGCAGTGTCCATATAATCTGTAACACTCCCTTCATGAATTATAATATAGCCATTTATATGCATAAATCAAGCGGAACACTATGGCGATAGCCGTACTGCTCAACTTGTGAAAGAAGAATCTCTTGGGCTCTCTTTTCGGCATCAAGACAATAATTCTTATTGCCACATTGCCAGACAGGACACTGTTGAGGTGTTGTATTTTTATATTTTTTTTTTTTATCTTTAATGGCCTCTTGCTTTAACTCTGCCCTTTGTATTTTATGTAAGCTATTGGAACCAGAGTTTCCCTAAAGGAGTAATCCCAAGGGATAAATAAGCCCAGTGTCTGTGTACCTACATCTCAATTTGGTTTGACCAAAGTTCAGACTTATAAATGTTTATAACTGCTTAGATGAGCTTAAATTTATTTCCATTCCTGTGATGTTTTTCTTTTTTCTTCTTCAAGATACGGGTTGCTGTTTAGGTTTTGTCTTACGTGTCTCTGAGTATTTCCTGCTTTTTGGAAATAATTTCACTCCTAGAACATTATGTTCATTCTTAAACTATAGATATTGACTTTGCTATGTTTTATTTTTTGTCAATACTAATCGATGTTTAGTTGAATATTTATTGCAGAGAGAAGTTACCATCACAAAAACTGTCAGAAAGCTTAAATAATAAGAATCACCTCAGCCTCAGTGCAGAATATAAGAATGTTTTAATCTGGTCATTCTACAACTGTTTCTGCAGATATCATTTTTGCACAAAAATAAACTCGATTATATTAATTTACAGGAAAGAAAAATATACTTTTCAAGCATGATAATCAACACTTTTTACATTTTAAAATCTGTCTTTAGCTGCTTTTGTAGATACTGAATCTCAGACTGAAAAGATTAACACTTTTATGTTTAAAAGCTAACTTCAGTTTTATTGTGGATTGTTTCTGTAATTACTGTACATAATCACCAGGACTTTGTCACAGATCAATATTAAATTCATTGTCACTCTCGGAATCATTTGCTGGATCATCAAACTTCACCCCAAGACCACTATCCAGGTCTGGGTCAGCAAAGAGAACCTTTGGCGATTTTCGCTGATTTGGCTTCTCATCTTCCTCATCACTTTCTTCATCTGCGTTTTCTGGTATGATGACTACTTCCTCCTTGGCGTTGGGATCAATGTCCTCTTTAAACCAGACAGACTTGTATCCCTCTTCCACTTTTCTTTCCTTAGTCAGGATAGGTTTCACCTCCTTTTCGTCGTCAGCCCTGTTTGAGCTGGTGTCGCTGGTGTCGTCAGGAAGTTGGTTGCGTAGTCCTGATGAAGTGCTTTGGATCTCGTCTTTGGGGGGAATGTTCCATAGCTGCACTGGAGGTTCTCTACTAGTTGTTATGCTTCTTCTCTCTGGACCACCAGAGCCCATGCTGCTTCTGTCATCATCGTCTTTTTGGAAAGCCTCATTGGTGTATTGAATTCCCTCTTTTTGCCCACTTGAACTTTGAGCCAGCTGTGCCAAAAAAAAAGACAAGAGTTTAGATCAGTTCATATTTTTCACATAATTTTATAAAATCTAGTGACTTGATTTTTTTCCCCATCCTTAACCATGAAGTAGTATATATTACATACTTTTTACATCAGAAAAGATTGAAAGGGTATCCCCTGAATTTAAAGGCAGTACTTATTTCCTCCTTTTTTCCATTCGGTGGCAATAAGTGAATAATAATCACCTAATACATGTTTAAAACAAATTAGTAATTTATGTGAATGGGGGCCAAATCAGGGAAGAAAAATATCAAGGGATGTTTGGAAAAATGATTCAAATATTCTTTGACAAATAGTGGCAAAGAATTGTTTGTTCCCACAGCAAAGTGAATAGCAAGTTGAAACGTTTAGATATTTAAATTGAAAAAATATATATACATATAAACAAGAATAAATGACTGAGGAGTGAGTGCAACCTAACATTCTAGGAAAAAAATAAGGACAATTATTAGGAATAACTTTCTCGTAGTAATAGAATGTACTACTGAGTAAAAGGATTTGAAAAAAACATTGGAAAATATACATCTTTGTAAATGCATAAAACCATCAGACCACAAGAATAAAGAAAAAAAAACATTATTAAAAGCATTGGCAACATAAAAGCCTGCAGAGTTTACTTAGAGTAGTGATAGTTTTAAAATTTAACAGCATTTGAATGGAAAGATCGGTAAATGTCCTCTTTTTGGAACCAGGGTCCAACTGTCTAACTCATTTTAATTCAGTTTATTTCTATAGCAACAAAGTGTCATCTCAAGGCACTTTACAGAGACAGTTCAGTCAAATCATTCAGACAGATTAGTTAAAAGTTTTCTATCTTGAACCTACCTTCTCCATACCTCATCCAAGGTAGTTATACTATTTACAATATTTATGCTGCTATAAGTTTGGGATACTGGAAGACATGAGGACCACTATTCAGAATTCTGCTTCACTCTGTCTCGTTTCTCCCATTCTGCAGTATTTGTCAGATCCTCCCATAACTTTATGCTCTCTCTGTGTTTTCTTGTCATAGTAGGTTCATCTGGTTATGTGCTCTCTTTCATCCTTTGACATGAGAGCTGGTTTAGTGCCTGTCTGCCTGAAAGGAGACTCCTGGGGAGCTAGTTAAGTTACTTTGTTAAATGTGTTTATTTCTATCTCTTTTAACTCCATCAGTTTGTAGACCTCATCTAGGATGAAGGATTAACCCCTTGTCCTAGATGAGGATTTAGTGATGGTAGACATGGCATTCTTTCAATCTTCAGCTAACACCCTCACAGAGCATACATGCTATTGTAGTTTTAATAAACCTGGAAAATTAGCCTGGTTCTTCTGGAGGGTTCGTCCCATTTAAGGGTTTTTTTTCTTCTCAACTGGGTTGCTGAAGAGTTAATGACAAAATGTAATAGAAAGTCGTCACTGCAAACTCATCCAGGAGAAGCATGTATAGCAAGTTAATGACTCAATGCAATCAACTGCTTTTCCTTGATATAAATTTTAACCAATATGACTGTATTGTCTCCATAAAGTGGCTTCAGATAAAACGTTGTGGATTGGCACTTTGTTAATCAAATGCCTTGGAATCCAGCTAATTACATCTAGTCATTGACTTTGCAGGATTAGCTCCTTCCTAGTAGATTAGGGTTTAGTGATGGTAGACATGGTTTGCATTGTGTATCCGAATCTGCAGCAATTACCCAGACTGAGCATTCCTGCTTTAATAAATTTGGAAATATCTCTAAAAAGTGTTTTTTCCCCCATGTTTTTAGAAAGATGTTGTGTGTAAAATCTAGAGGAAAATAGATTAATTCAAAACCATTTGAAATAAAGCAGAAAAACTAATTAAGAATAAAGTGCAGAGCTGTGATTACGTTTTGGATGCTCAGTATGTTGGATTGGTGCAAAGTTAATGACCTTATGCAATTAGCTTTCCATTAGCTATAGTATGTTTACATAGATATACAGTATGTATTGGGAATAAAGGGCCAACTTCAATATAAAGCATGATCAGAACATTACAATTGAGATGTAATGATTAAATTTAACTCAATATGAATTAAATTATATTCTGATTAAGAAGGCTTATTTATGGACAGCCTTACTCCATTCTGAGTGCTCAGAACAGTTGGAATCACATTTGTTTTGGGGTTTCTTCTGCATAGACAGAGGTCCAACTCTTCTTCTCTGATTGTTTTAGTCAAATCTGTGCAATTATCGAGAGCTTCTATTCTGAATGAGGCCTAGTGCAAGTTAAAAAGGCATGAACAGTGAACAACATAATAATCTGCTGAGCTTGTAGGTTTATCAGTTTAAATTCAAATTAAACTTTGCCTGCAGGGTCTGAAATACAAAATCAAATGTGTTACTGACATTGTTTTTTGACTAAATTGAAAATGTCTTTTTTGCACATGAAGGTAATCTGTTTTTATTGTAAATAGTTTCCAGTAATTTTGTTGTAAATTGGTGCAACATAAATAAATAGAATTAAAATTCCTTCTATTTTTACTATTTCCTCATGACATCCAGGGTTCATCATCAGTGCAGATCATTTAAAATCCATTGTTGTTCAACTTTTTCCACAATGTTTGGAGTACATTACTGGACTTGGAAGCTACAGATCTATAATTTGCCAAAAGAAATACCTTGCTTTTCAAATTTTACAAGTTGGTTTTTCATAACTTTCATGTGATATGATAAGCATGAAATTACTACTGGCTAAAAAATGTCTTGATCAAACAGTAGATATGACCATTAATAGATACACTGTAATGTTCAGATTTGTTTAAAATAGATTGTTCTTCGGGAGAACTTTGTTAACATTACAACTGAAAAAAATACTGGTGATATGATAGAAGGTCCCAGGTTTGATAAATTCTCTCTAGAATTAAGTTTGTCTGTAAAAATGTAGTTCTGAGGGTGGCCCAATTTCAAAATATCAAAACCCAATGTGGTAATCACAGAGCTGAACTAAGATGTCTGGTTCTTCCAGTTTCTTGTTGGCCTGCATTTTTCTTTTCTATTTATTTATTTTTGTTTGTTTACTTCTTTACTTACAGAGCTTCGAAACAAACTGGCTTCTTGAATCTTCTTCCAGGCTGCTTTTCCTTTCTGCATGCGATAAACAAGCAGCCCAATGACCAGCAGACAAAGAAACAAAAGGACCCCTAAGGTTGCTCCCAGCACAGCCATGTCCACCGACCTGAACCCACCGGATGGGGCCACTGGAACGACAGTTGCAAAGATAAGATACTTCAATAAACTTAGTTTTAATCAGTAAAAGTTAAATATTGTGTGATTACTTGTAAACCACATCTAAACAATTTATCGACTTATTATACTTGATTGGCAACTAAATAACTAAAACTAGTGTTCTGTGGTTGGTTTGCTTTCATATCTACAACTACACTGATTTTAACAAAGATTTATAATCGTTGTTAGGGCCTCTATGGCCCTGTATGTATGTATGTATGTATGTATGTATGTATGTGTATATATATATATATATATATATATATATAT